TACTTTGCATATTTTATTGCAATAACGTATTTTTTATGTTTTCTGTTAACAGATAATTCATCAAATGTGACACCTGTTACTACATCTACCACTACTGCATCTGCTGCAGCCGCTGGTAGTAGTTCTAGTAGTGGTATTAGTAGTCTTAGTTCAGCTTTGGACCATGTTAGTAGTCACATCAGTGCTGTCACTAATGCCATGGATGCAATAGCTAATGTAATAGCTGCTAATAATGCCAGTGGTAGTGGGTCAAGTTCATCTAGAAGGTGAGTATCAATGATCATGATGAGTTTATATCTTGGGCTTGGTTTGTTGGTCAGCTGGAGTTTATCTCTTCCTGTATGCGGAAGAGGTTGCCCTGTAATATCTATTTTCAAAAATGCTGATATAAATTTGCCAAATGTGCTTTTAGGTTTTTTAAGGAAATGTACTTCGTTATACATTTGGCACTAAAACGGTGTATTTAAACAATATTTGCGCTCACTTTTGGAATGTTAAAATTGTCTCTTATGAGAGGTAACATATGTCCACAGCGTTTAACACGTCACTGCTCATACCAAAATCCGATTTTTATAGTCAACTTTTACAAAATTATTTTTTTTTAAAGTAGAATCCCTGTCGGTATTGGGAGAGTACGTTCATTTGGTTTCAAAATAACGAAAAAATTTAAGTTCAATGTCTTGAAACATGTGTTAATCTGCGTATTTTGTATATATTGGTCTAGTATAAGTCTGCGCGAGATGATGAGAAGAGCAACTGCAGCTGGTAGATCCGGTGCTAGTGGTAGTAGTGGTCTTGGTATTGGTCAGGAAGAAAGCAGAGATCCTGGCTCACAAGATCCGCCACCTCCCCCATTACCAACACTTAATTGGCCACCAGATCCACCATTGTACTCTGGTAGGTATACATACTCCTCCTGAATGTTATAATTATTCATGGTGAAAATAAAATACATGTCATTGCATATAATTATATATTTATTGAGGTTGAAGTATAGATACTAGCAGTGCAGTTGTATTCTTTGGTGTGTGATGTCAGTCCTTATATATTGTGTATTGACACAACATCTCTGAATACCTGATATTGATGCCCGCAGTAAACACCTTGTTTTACTAAATTTAATTCAACAAATTAAGTAACAATGTTGTTAGCCATGTACTTTTGACATCAAGTTGCATTCGCAGAAAAAGTGAAAAATTGTAAAATAACAATGAAACAAAGAATAATTTTCATTCATTGTCATATTGTCTAAATAAATGGTAATCTAGAAGGTAGTACTGTATTTGCTCT